AAATGGCTCCGTAGGAAAAAAGAGAAAACCAATGATATAATAGTAAATGAATCAAAACCAGATGGATCAAATGTTCCCTAAAATATACAGTTTGAAAAATTAAGGAGAAAAAGTACTTGGCAAAAATGTGTTTTAGGTTTTACCAAACCCAAAACATTTGAAGAATCATTTGCAATTGTTGATGAACCCTAAATGCTGCCAAGTTGGCCCATTTTCATAAATGACAGAACAATAGAGAATGTCCCCAGATGCCGTGCAACCCGCTGACCGGGTGTTTCACTCAAGAACTTGTTGGTAACTGTCGACAAACACGGCAAACTTTATAGAAGTAGGTGGAGGTGGGGCGTGAAATTATAAAGGTTTGTTCATTTAATTGCCCATGTTGGGAGTGTAGGCTCTGTGTGTTTTGGGGGTGGGGAAGCACCAAGGGTAGCATTTCAAGCAAAAGAAAGTTAATTGAAAGAACATGGGTCACATGTTAATGAGCCTTGTGTCTTGAGTGTGTGGTAATAATTCCTTGCAATCCGACTTCCAAGTCAGTGTCTTTTGACTGTCCCACATGCATAGAGAGATACTAGAAACAGTGTCTTTGAGTGGAAAGGGATAACAGTGATCTGGGGGTGGGGGCGGGATATGGGTATGTGGCCAGGGGTGGGCGTGGTCTGTACGTTATGGCTACTAGAAAAATAATTTCAATTGAATGAGTTGGGTGGTCTTCTCAGGAGGTACTGGAGCCTTGTTCTGAGCCCTGTCTCACAGAAACGTTAAATATGTCACGCAGCTCTTCAGAAAGCAGGAAATATTGAGGTTTTAACCTGCCCTGCCCCTGTCTGTCTCTGAGACTCTTGCCTCAAGTTCTCAGATGCAGCCTTTCACTAGCAAACGGGAGGCCGGCCCTCCGTTTGTGAAACCATTTGACCAGGCTCACAGGACAAGCAGGTCAAGGACAGTGGCTGTGCCCATTGAAACCTTCTTACAACGTGATGCTTCCCTTGGCAGAGACTAGTAACGGAAATGTGTGACTCATGTTCACAGAGAATAGCAAGGGGAAGGCAGATGGAGAGATGGTGGGTACCATCTGGCAAATGATGTGTCTATTAATTCTTTATCAAAAAACTAGAAGTTGGTCAATCATAATGACTCACACCTGTGATTCCAGCATTGGGACACTGGGGCAGAAAGATTGTTACAAGTCCCAGGCCTACCTGGTATAGAGTGAGATCTTGTGTGAAGCAAAAAAAGAAACAAAATACAAACAAACAAAATAAAATCCCATTACACACTGGTTCCCATATTAGTTTGAATAGTCAACAATATACCAACATTGGTGATATTAGAGAAAATGTCAAATAAAATAGACAAATATCTTAAATATGCCAAATAGATGCTACCAAAGAGAGCTACAATGAGTTGACCACAATGATTCAGAAAAACATCTTAGCAGATGGAGAATCTATTGACTACCATATATCTTGATTTTTTTAAGAGAGGCTTCAGACATAAAAAAAAAGAACCCAGAACCAATGTATAAAAATATGCAGTAGTTATCCTGGAAAAACTCCTATACAGTCAGCATGGAATGTTTTTTCTTATTGCTAGTAGAAATTAAAAGATGAGTGAAAATCAGTCAGGCTTATAAAAAAAAAAAAATTCTAAGTTAACCTAAACTCAAAACCTAAATGAGGGGCTAGAGAGAAGTTTCAGCAGTTATGAGCACTGACTGCTCTTGAAGACGACCTGGGTTCAGTTTCCAGCATGGACATGGTAACCCACCAATGTCTGTTACTCCAGTCCTGGGAGACTCAAAACCCTCTTCCGACCTCTGCGGACACAAGGAATTCATATGGTGCATATACATCCACACAGGCAAAACACTTATACGTGTTAAATAAAATGATTAAATCTAAAACTAAAAACTAAATTCAACCCCCAGCACTGGGGAGAGGGGAAAAAAAAAAAAAAAACAGCTTAGAAAACTAGTCTCTACTATTTTCAGATGTGACTAAAATCCTGCCCTTGCTTTGTTTTGAAGTGTGTTTCCTTTCCACTCAACAACAGACCGGATTCTAAACCAGCAGCCAACAGTCCTGGATTCTAATTCCAGCCTCTTTACATTAATGGCGGATGACAGTCTCTGGTCCTGCCACTGAACTGCCTGCCTCACAGATGACAAGACAGAGGCAGAGGAAAAAGCGCAAGTGGAGGACAGGAGATGTGACCGTCACACTAGTTCTGTTCTTAGGATCACATGGCCTGACAAACGTGTCGGTGATGGGGTCTCTGTGAGACAGAAACTGCTACTTTTATTGTCTCTTCACCTAATAGCTGAACCAAGTCATCAGAATTGGGTTTGTCATAACCTTGTTCATGCTAATTTCTAATGAAACCAGACAACCAAAACCTCTGCAGGCATCTTTTGCTTCAGTGGAGGCGTTGAGGAGAAGCAGTCAATCCAAGGGGCTGTAGAAATCTGAGTTCTAATTTCCATTTTCTCCTCTGTTACATCCCCTGTCCTGTCCTCAACACTATTCTCTCTTTTATGACTCGTTGGGAACACTGTAAGAGCTAACAGGCAACTCTCCACAGCGGTCTACAGTAGAGACGCAAAATGTGCTAGTTATTCACGAGTGTAAGGACAGAGCCAACGTACTATGTAAGATGAAATAAAGAAATTCAGGGGGAAATAGTGTGTGAGATTTTTTTTTTTCATTGCTAGATATGAAACGTCCCCACCTTGCCACCAACTCTGAAGTCACTGACATTTTTTTTTTAAGGTGAGCATCAATGGCCGAAAGATCAATTTCTAATATGTCCTCCTAGGTAATACTTTTACCGCATTATTCCCTGACCATTGCATTCAAGAAACTAACCATTTTATGTGCAGAATTGAAGGTCCTGTCATTTTGATTACAACTGAAGAAAATTATGATGAAATCCTGCCTGTTACAGAAGCAGCGCAGGTCACAGTTTACGCTCATGAAAACTTTCAACCAAATCGGTCCGTTACAAAGCTGTTCTCTATGGGGCTGGAAAGATGGCTCAGCATGTAAAAACACTGACGGCTTTTCCAGAGGACCTGGGTTCAATTCCCAGTACCCACATAGCAGCTCACAACCTTTGCAACTCTGGTTCTAGAGAATCTGGCATCCTCACAGATGCAGACAAGAACACCAATGCACATAAAAATAAACTTAAAAAAAAAAAAAAAGCTGTTCTCTGTCTCCAAGTGACTGATATTAAAACTTGCAGAGCCCTTCAGTGATGCTTGTAAACTCTGGAATAAGTTTCTGTATGAGATTCTTGAGTGTTAAAGCTGGCTCTTTGAGAGTAAGCCTGTCATTGTCATGTAAAATCACATCCCCAAATGCCAGTACTTGGAAATCAAAGGAGCTGAAAGTCCTGTAGGAAGGCTTCCATTGTTTTCATGTTGTTATTTCCCTGCTGAGGTTTAAAGCCACCTTTTGCCTTTTTTTTTTTTTTAAGCCCAGGATGTGCTATAGGAATCTATAAAACTTAATTACATTTACTGTTACAAAAAAGGATTTATGAACTTTTGCCTTGAGGCGGAAATGTTTATTTCATTGCCTTTGCCATCCAGTCTTTTCAACTCCTGTGGCTTTGAACTTCTCAGCTGCTTGGAGTTATCACCATTGCACAGAGCCCAAGAGCTCCTCTCGGAAAAAGCACACCACAAGTTGAAAAAGCCAGGGAAGGCAAAGATATATGAGTCGTTATTTTGGCCACCCTTTGTGCCATTAAAATCTCATTTTCTGCCTATTAGAATACCCTCTCGGTGCTTAGGCAGTGGTGATAGCCCGTGATTAGTGTGTAATTGAGTATAATTGTCTTTTCACTTTTCATTTGTGTCATTCGGAGCTTCTCTCTGTTTTTCTAACCACCAAGAGGAAAAAAAAAAAAAGAGGTAGAGAAATGATAAAGCTGTTAAAACTCTCACTCTCGGCCCCAAAGAGATCCGAGATTGCAATTATAGATTGCAATCCCTTTGTGACATTTCTCCAAATTTAGTGGGTGGCTCTCCTCCGAAACCTGGGCCAACTCCTCTCTAATAAAATCAAGCTATCTGTATTTAAACAACTGCTAATAATGTCAAGTTCAGACAGATGCCACATGTAGGAAATTTAACCATCCCTCTGACGTGCAATTATCTAGGCAATTTATTAATGCAATCCCCCAAGAAAAACTCACAGTCCAATGCAAATTAGAAAAACAATTACAACATCCAAATATTTATATAGTCCCAAATACTAGCAATTCTCCTAATTTGTGTTCTTATAACTCATTCATTCCAGGTTCTTCTGTCCTCAGCTGGGTCTCTCTCTCTCTTTCCCTACCTCCCTTTTTATTTTCCCTTCCTCTCTTCCTCTCTCAGTTCCTCTCCTCCTTCTTCTACTTTCCCATTTCCCTCCTCCTCTTTTCCTTCTCCCCTCTCCCATTCCCCCTTCTCTTCTCTGCTCTCTACATAACTTATCTGCTTCCTCTCCAATTGTTCTGTCTGAGCTTTGGTGTTTTCTTCAGTCTAACGCTCTCCCAACTGAGCTATTTCAGCTGTGCTTGCTTTGGTGTTTTCTGATGCTGATTTTTACTCAAAATTCTGTCAACTGGCTGACCAAATACCATTTGAAACAGAAAAACAAACAAAAACCAAAAGAAAAGAAACCTCAGCAGGTTTCTAAGGCTTTCAACCAAAGCTCAGCATTAGGGATAAGAAAGATAGAAGACAAATGCCTTGACAACTAAGTATAAACACAGAGTCTCCATGGTTACATTAGAAGTCACTTGAATTTTAAGTCTAATCTACAAGTTTTGATGCCTCCAGTAGAAAGGGAAGAGAGAAAGGAAACTCGAAAACTGAAATCATGTGGCTTGTATAAAGAATACATTATGGTTTACATTTGGCAATTCATTATACCGCTGCCTCAGGGAATTGACTATTTGGTTCTGGTAACGGCAAATCATCTGTCTAGAAAAACGGGACTGACCTGAGGTGAAAGGCCATTGCCAATGGCGGGGTTCATGGGGTTGGAGGGCCCCGATGGAGGCACAAAGCTGTCTGTATAGCTTGAAAATCCATGCCTGGTGCTGGGGAGGCAGTAGGCAGAGCTGCTGTCTGGGTTCGAAGGGACAGTGCTTTGGTGTACAGTGCTCGGAGGAAGCGGCTGAGGTCTGTGAACGGTGCTGCTGGGATCTGACACAGCTGAAACAAAGAAGATGATCAACCATGAAGTTCTCTGGTAGACCAGCAGAGCAATTTCAATGCAAAAGTTCCCACTAGTGGTTACCATTGGTTAGCTACTATGTGAACTTCCAACTGCATTTCCAATCACTCATGTGTAAAATCACACAACAGATACGGTTTCATCTATCTTGGCATGTCTATAGGCACATAACTATGTACACAAACACCCAGGGCACACTCATCTAAAAGATGAGCACAGATATCACACTGGCAATAGTGACAAGCCAATGTGGCTAGTGAACACAATGCAATCACTGCAGATACCAAATTTCTCATCAAACGTACTCTTAAAGCACTAACACATAAATAGAACATCAGCGTTTCAGCGGTTGGAAACACTGTCTCTCACAACCCCAAAATAATAGTCTTAAAACTTAACATTATCCCAGTTCCCCCTTGTCCTAACAAATGATGACTTTACCAAAGTTTACCCTCCCTGAATTACTACTGCAACCAGTTACTGTCCTAGAGCCTCAGTTGATTGCAACAGGGGAGAAAAATCCCATGTTTCTTTGGGAAAGTTGCATTGTTTTAAAACACTGAAATGGTGTTCCATCACAGCACGGTTTATCTCACGAGCTTCAAACATAGCACAAACTAATTCTGAGGCATGGCAGGTGTATAGAGGGGAAGCTGATGTTCTTAGGACTGGTACACCAACAGGATCAACATGAGCATCACAGATGGAATTCACTGTGTAAAACAGCCAATGGAAAGCAACTGAGAGTTACATTTTCATCATCCCTCATTCTCTTCCTAGATACCTTGTGGAATAGATGTGGGCTGGTAAGAGGTCTCCGACAGCTGGTATGTTGGCAGGGTCGGCATGGCGGTGGGAGGGAATCCTCCCGGAATGAGATGGTTGAAAGCCATCAGTTGATTGGCCCCAGCTTGCTTCCTCCATCTTGCACGGCGGTTGCTAAACCAGACCTATGGATTTAATTTAAAATTTGAGGATTTCACTGATGAAATAATAGGACATTCTTAATGAATTTTTCATGCTAAAGCAGATTAAAGGCCCCTTACTGACAGGGCAAATACAGGCAAGAGCCCTCTGTCTTCTGTAACATGTTGGGGTGAAAGGGGAGTTAAATGTCAGGGGTGGGGAAAAGGGCTGGATGGACCCTACATGGACTTGCATCAGTTCTAGTAAAGTTGGTAATGACCTTGGGTGAGGACAGCTGAGCAGGGTTCCAAACATAAGTGTTCTTTTTGCTGCCATCAATGTCCTTGCACCCTCATATCACAGCCTTCCAGGAAACCTATCAGGTACCTGGACACCAGCATTCACACATATGGCACAGGTCTTAAATTTGTCCTGGCCAATTATATACATCAAGCCTTGGGCTATATTCCTGTCAGTATATTCCTCTATGTCTATAGTCAGTGTAAGTGTTGGTTCTAGAGCAGTGGTTCTCAACATTTCTAATGCTGTGACCATTTAATACAGTTCTGTAGGTTGTGGTGACCCCCAACCATAAAATCATTGCTTGTTATTACTTCATAACTGTAATTTTGCTACTGTTACGAATCATAATACAAATACCTGTGTTTTCCGATGATCTGAGGCGACCCCTCTGAAATGATCAACCCCCCCCAAAGGGTCATGACCCTTTGGGTTGAAAGACACTGACCTAAATAGTTACATGAATTGAACAAAAGTTCATAAGAGGAGAGCCATTTTCCCACCTCTTTCAAAGAGTGACACATTACACTGATCTCAATTAAAATAGATGCCCATAAAGGGCTTCAAATAAAAGGAAAGATTTTGCAATAAAAATATGTTATTATTTCTTTAGATACCTGTGTTAGGTACTGTTATGCTCTGTGTTGGACACTATCAAATGTTCAGAAAAATCTGTTGGAAAAAAATTTTCCTTCCAGTAATTCAAAGCCCAGGTCTTTCTTGTGTCAGAGGAGAAAAGAAAAAGATAGCAACCAGCTAGAAAGATAGCTGAACATCTAAGATGTTGAATGGTATTAGATAGGTCTTTAGTACATCTCAAGATCTCGCCCAACTATGATTTAAATCTGCATAATTAAAATGTTAAACTTGGAGTAAACTTTCCAGCGTGTACACATATATTTACCACACCACAAGTGATGAAAATCCCTACCAACCAAAAGTATTAATATTTTTATGTAAAGGTTCACTGAAATTTAACATGAAGAGAACATAGCATTTGAGGTTGAAGGGTTAGGAGAGGATGAGATGGAAGTTTGGGATTTAGGCAGCCTCCTTCACAGAGCCCAGAAGAATTCCTCACAGGACATAGACACTCAGTGTTAGCAAGTCAAAGACTCAGAAAACTTAGGGGCAAAGTTTCCGCTCATTTTAAAAGTTGGCCATGATTGTCACAAGGTGTATCTCTCTTGATAGAGGTCACAATAGAGAGTAGAGAGACTTGATCAGTCTGGCTAAGGAAAGCGAATTTGACAGAGAAAAATCCTTGCCTAGAATGTACATGGGAGAGAGCTTGAAGACTCCATTCCCTCCTTCCACCACGTGCCTTCCTGGCGTTGAACTCAGGTCATCAGGCTTGGTGGCAAGCGCCTTTACCCACTGAGCCATATCACCGGGCCCAAGCGTTAACTTTTAATATTCCTTATGTTTCCAAGGGGAAAAGAAGGTAATCCAGTATTTTCCGTGTTGATAAATAATTGAATTAGAACCTCACTTGACTTAATAAATTCCCACCTGGTGTAACGGAACCATGAACACTCAATTTCAAGCCTACGTTGGTTATGTTTTCTCCCTGCAAGTCTAAACTAGTGTGACTCCCAGGGGCATCATGGGAAGAAAAACATTTTCAAGAAAGAGATTGGCACAATCTGTGTTAGTGGAAGAGTCTTGGGGGTGAGAATCCCTGCCTGAAGGTATTTGCCCTACTACTCACTATAGTCAAACTTTACATGATAAAGCTACAAGAACAAAAGACCGTCTGGTTTGAGAAAGGCTCTTCCCTCACTTACTCAAAAATCAACTAAACGCCACACAGTTCCGTATTTCCGTGCTATTCTGGGAGAAGTCAACTGCTAGATGTCCCAAGGTGACCTCATCCATGGAGTCACCATCCTGAATTCCAGTGTACCTCTCCATGAAGCACTCAGAACCTGCACGTGAATATCGTTGAAGCACGTTGTCTAGCTCTCTACCCACTGCCTTCTATAACCGTTAGATAAATGAGCCTAGCTTGGATTGACCAGCGTTAGCAATGTCTGAGCTCCCCGGCAAGCTCAGCACATCACTGCTTCCAAGAGCATTCGACCAATGCCATAGCCCAAGGTTGAAAACAGAGGCTGGCTTTGCTCAAATAATAAGGAAGAAATATCACTACTTTCTACAATTACCTTCAAAACACGGGATCCAAACAAACTGGGTGGCTAAGCATTTGAAGTGTGCGCTCATTTTCCTTTCCCAAATTGATACTAGGAAATGCTGAAGACATAGCATAATAAACCCATGAGGGGCTTATTTAAAAGTGTTCATGTTTACGGCTTAGTACCTGTTATAGCTACCTTTTTTTTTTTTTTTTTAATCTTCTTTTTGAGGGCGGGGAGGCCACAAGGATGAGGGGCAGACCTGGGAGGACTTCGAAGTGAATGTGATTGGGATTTATGATATTAAATTTCCAAACACAATAAATAAAAATATTATGTTAAAAAACCAACAGGTGGTAAAGAATTGGCCTAGCATGTCAGAGGTCTCAGTTCAAACTCAAGCATTACAATTAAAAAAAAAAAAAAAAATCCAGAAAAACAGGTGAGAAGCAAACTTTTACTGAAAAACAAACTTTCACCAGAAGTTCAGGGTCCCCAAAGGAAAGAATCCTAATGTTTACGTGGAAGCTCCCTATATCCAGAGCACTGTTCTAGAGAGAACCAGGCCCAGGGAGGACAGACCTGCTCAGGTCTGGCCATTTAAACAAACATTTTTAATGAGCTCACCAATGCCAACCTCAGTGCTTCTAGAACCATCATGCTTTTGCCAGATATATCACTAAAGGGAAAAGATATTGATACTGAAAATGGGGTTTAGGCTTTGCCCTATGTTTTGAAATTCAGGAAACATCTTCAATTTCCAGATGGGAAAAGAAAAGCTGCTCTTAAAATGACCTTTATTTTAAAGACCTTTGTCAGCCAAGCACAGGATACTGGAATGGTGTCGTCCCCCTATACCTAACTGAGGAAGAAAAGCAATTTCTCTACTCGGAGGCCCCCTATAACTCAGCATAGAATCATCAGTGTCTAATAGGAAGTCAACCCATAATCTACTGTATCGTGTGAATGCATAATACAGAAGGGTTTGGTCCCCAACGTAGAGAGAATTTATGACTTGATTCAATTATTAGAAATGTCTCCTTATTAGGGGCGGAAGGGATGGCTCACCAGTTAAGAGCACTGGCTGCTCTTCCATTCCACCCAGGTTTGATTCCCATCCTGCACGCACGTGATAGCTCACAACCATCTGCAGCTCCAATGGCAGGGAATACGAACCTTTCTGGGACCCTCACGTACTAGGCACTCATGTGGTACACACATATACATGCAGACAGAACATACACATACATACAAAAGCACACACATACAAAAAAAATTACATGTTCTTAAAGAAATATCTCCATATTTTAAAAAGAGTAACCACAGCAACTGAAAATAACTGGCCTTTGCTGTTCTAAGAATGTTTTTGGCAGTAAGGCGGAAAGAACAAGGTTTACAAAGTCAGCCACCTATCTGTTAAGTGTAATTCTATAAACTAGGAGTCAATGCAAAATCTTTCTCTCTACATCACTTCTTCTGGCTTTTCCACCACTGTAAACATAATAAGCAAGTGAGGGCAGGAAGCGCACATTGATTGATGCCTGCTGTAATCGTCTGTATAATATCAAATATGTTACATATACCCCCAAATCAAGTTTTTGCTTCAATTGATGAATAGTAATCTGGCCCATTTTTACCTGTGCGAAATCTTCTGGTTTTGCCACTGAGTCCATCAATAAAGTCCTACCTTTCTTTAAAAAGTGATCATGGGCTGGGCCCAGACCCACTACATGTATGTAGCAGTTGTGCAGCTTGGTCATCACGTGGGTCCCCGAACAACGGGAGCAGGGGCTGTCTCAGACTCTGTTCTCTGCCTTTGGGTCCTTTTCCCCTAGCTGGGCTGCCTTGTCTGGCCTCAGTGGGAGAGGCTGTGCTTAGCCCTGCTGCGACTTGAGGTGCCAGGGTGGGTTGGTACCCCCAACTCCTCCGAGAAGGAGGGAGGGGAATGAGGGGGCATTAGGGTGAGACTGGGAAAAGAGGAGGGAGGGGGCTGGGGTCAGGCTGTAAAATAAATAAATAAATAGGAATAGAACTGTAAACCAAAAAAAAAAAAAAAAAAAAAGATCTTCATGTGGATTTCTACATTATAATATCCAATAGTTATTTGAGGTAAAATTAAAACCATTCAAAGGTTCCCTATAATATCATGATAACTATAAAGGGGGGGATGGGTTTCAAAATAAGAATGCGATTTTTATAAAACTGCCCTTCATGATAAAGTGACCAACTTGTTCAGACTGGACACTCTAAGTTGGGGTGGGGTGGGTTAGTACTTCCACAGTGAAAACGCAGGAATGCTTTTTAGTCAACCAGACATCATGCAGACCAGTCAAACGTCAAACCCCAGCTCCTATCTGCCGCCACTTTTACCTTCAGTGCTGTGCTTAGTGTCTGTGGGGTTCTTTTCTCTCATTTGCTAAATGAGAAATATACAAAACTACTTCAGGACACAGTTGTGAATTTTTATGAAGACAATATGGTAAAGCACTTACAAGAAGGTTTAGGAGCTAGCAAGTGTTCAGTAAACACTAACTAATAAATTAAAATCTCACATGGACACTTTGAGAAAACCCACATGCATGAAAGCATGGCTTAGTGTCCACCACTCT